CTTGATGTGTGATGGATGAAGAATAAACCATGGCAGAAGGAAAGGGCAGAAGAGAATGGAGATGCTTTCGTTTTGTTTAAAATAAAAGCTCTTAGTTAACGGGTGTGGAAAAAGGTAGATTCCTAAAGTCTTAAAACTACCATTTAATAGATACTAATATCTGTTAGGCACAGTGCAAAATGCAGCTTTCAGATTTTTATCTGAATGCATCTTACAGCTCAACTAACAGTCAGAAAATTTTAGTAATAAATCAGTCAAGAAATCTATATGCATAGGAAAGGAACTAACATATTTTGTAGAAAAAGATCTTGTTCTATGAGGGCTTAGCTAGGTTTAGATCTTTTATACCTGTAAGGTATAAATGAATAGCAAAGTGAATACTTAAACTTGGCTATATGCAGGGTGATCACACTGTCCAGGTTGATGTCTGTTGTCTTGGTTTTATCACTAGAAGTTCCCCCTTTCATGCTCAAACATGTCCCAGTTTGGACAGTAAATTATATGATCACCTCAAATATAAGAAATTTTGAGATTGTGTAAAAGTGGCTCGTCAATGCCATGATGCTATGTAACCAGAACTTGAGCAAAGGAAAATTTCTACAACCCTCTCTTTAGCTATAAAAAGATATTAACCTCATAGGGTGATCAGGAAGATCAAATAAATTTATATGTGAAAGGGGTTTGAAAAGATACAAGATATACTATCAGAAGGTATTATTACCTTAAAAGATCCAGTTTTCTGAAAGAGTTCACATTTGAAGAAAAGATTGCGCCCTGTTACTTGATTCAAAATGGAGCTTGTTAGCACTGGTGTGAGGTGGATAAAATCTCGAATGTTGATATGAGCTTTTTCAACATCAGCAAAGGAGATGCAGTACTGGGTACACATGGTTCTGAAACCCAGGAATAAGAAAGGGGTCAAAGCAAGCCTGACACAACATGTTTAATGACAAGATTTTGAAAATGCGTAACACAGGCCCATGCAATATACACCACCAAGACTAAACTATAATGTAAACTGTGGACTTTGATGGTAATGATGTGTCAATGTAGGTTCAACTGCAACAAATGTACCATTCTGGTGGGGAATTTTAATAAAGGGGGAGGCTATGCATGTGCGGGGCGGGCTGAGGGTATATGGCAAATCTATGTACCTTCCTATCAAATTTTGCTGTGAACCTTAAATTGCTCCAAAAAAAAAAAAAAAACAAAACCTTAAAAAAAGCATAACATAGGGAAAACCTGGGGCCTGTGGTGCTAATGTGGGAAACCTCTTCATTATTGGGGCTCCAGAATTATGTTCATTTTCTATGTTTCCTTCTGTTTTTTCAATATACATATACAACACTTAAAAATCAAACTAAAGCTAACATATTATTTACTCCTATTCAATTTGTCTGTTTCCTCAGTTTTTACAATTATAATTTTCAATAACTGCATTGTTTCTATTTTTCACTATTTTTATTATTATTAAACTTCTAAAAAATGAAGTTTCTCTATTTTTCCCTACTAACAAACAAAAGCAAGGCATGCTCAATAGGAAAACAATTTAATCTGCTTCTTCAAAGTCAGTTGCTACCTAAGCTCTAGTGTTTTTCAAGCCCACATATACATATGCATACAAAACTTTTTTGATAGGTTTCATAACTTGCTTTTTTCAGACAATATTTTTATACTGTATGAACTTTGCTTATCAAAATATATTTATGACTTTTAAAATGATTATTACTAGAACTTCTTTTTACAAAAATTGAGTTTTACATAGCTCTATTGTAGAACATTTAGATCCCCCTCCCCTTTTTTTTGTTATAATAATGACGTAATGAACAGCCTTGTTGCAAAATCTTTATTTCCATTTAGGCTTTGGGTAGATTCCACCAAAAGGCATTTTGCATTAAGAGGCATTTGATAACCCACTGTCAAGCTGATTCCTGGAAGAGTTGTAGATAGTATCAATTTACACTACCAGCAATAGTTTCTAAGGAATGTCCATTTTCCTTCCCTTTACTGTATAATTTTTATGTCAATTTAATGAAATATGTCTAATGATTTACATTTCTTTAATTACTAGTGACTAAACTTTTTTTGAATGTTTGAATTCACATTTTTGTGAATCTTTAACACACCGTTTACTGACTGAATCATCTTTTTCCTTTAAAATGCCATATTTAGAAAAAAAATTAAATTTCTATTAATGCTTGGAGCTTTTCTGGATTTTGTATTTTCTTCCTAATCACATTGCCAATTCCTTTTCCAGTTGTTTATTTTATTAATATGTTCTTCCCTGATAACTTTCAAAAATTGGCTTTTTCTCACACACCAATTCTTGCAAATGAACTTTAGAAATACTTTAACAAGATTGCCAGAAATTCCACTGTAAAATGTACAAATGAATTGGGGCCATAACTGACAATTTATTTTTGTTGTTTTGATAAGGCATTTTTAAATTAGATTTTAAAATTGCTTACTGATGACATATATGGAAGCTAGTAATTTTTGTGTATGTCATGTAATAGGATACTTTAGATTATCTTGTTAGATCTAATAGTTTTATAGTTTAAACAATCACACTATCTGCAAATAGTTTGTCTTTACCTTATAAAATACCTCTGGTAACTTTCTCAATGGCTTCACAGTTACTGGTTTATATGGATTTGCCACCTCCTCCTGAATTAATTTCACTAATTTTTTTTTGGCAAAACCAACTTATTTAAAATTCATTGGTATAAATTTGTATTAGTGTTTCTAAGTGTTTTTATCTGTGGTCTTCAGTCATTCATTCAATCAACAAATATTGAGTAACTTCTATGTGTCAAGATACTGTTTGGTCTGGGGATAGAGTATTAGAAAAATAGATTTGCCCCTACTCTCTTAAAGCTTCCAATGTATTGGAGAGGTGTCTAGTAAATAATCCAATTAAATATGTATTTACAAATATTGATGTGTTAACTTAGGGAAGTGTGTTATGATAGGATATTATAAAGGGAGTGAAGATTACAGAGAAGTGATTATTTTTTGGTGAATTAATTAGTGTTTTTTGTTTTGTTTTGTTTCATTTTTTTAAGAAGTAAAATTTAAGTTAGGACCTATAAGATGAATGGGCAGAGTAGTGGGGAAAATGTTTCAGGCAGAGGGAATGATAATAACGTGTTGAAGGCTTTAAGGATGAAAAGAGCTTCGCATTTTCCAGGAACTGAAAGAAGGCCAATGAATCTGAAGATAGTGATCAATGAGAAATGTGATAAGAGATAGAAAGTGAAGTTGGCAGAGTCTAAACCATAAGGGACCATGACTCATGAATTTTTTCTTAAGAGCAACACAATGCCATTGGAGAATTCTGAGCAGGTAAGTGACATGCTGTAATGTATATTTTCAGAGAACCAGTCTGGTTACATTGTGATGAATGAAAAGGAAAAGGTGGACTCAGGGAATCTAGTTATGAAGTATTATAGTTGTCCACTGAAAGACAACAGGGGCTTGGACAGTGAAAGTGGAGGTAGAAAAAAATAATCATTCAAGATACATTTTGGAAAAAACAAACCTGAAGAATGGGTGAATCACTTGAATAGACATTTCTCCAAAAAAGATACATAAATGGCCAACAAGCACATGAAAAGATGGTCAAGATCACTAATCATTAGAGAAATGCAAATCAAAACCACAATGAGATACCACCTTATGCCTATTAGGATGTCTACTATTAAAAAAAAAAACCCAAACCAGAAAATAATAGGTGTTGGCAGGATGTGGAAAAACTGAAGTCCTTGTGCACTGTTGGTAGGAATGTAAAATGGTACACCTGCCATGGAAAACAGTATTGTAGTTCCTCAAAAAATTAAACAATTACCATATGATCCAGCAATTCCACTTCTGGGTATATATCCAAAAGAATTCAACGAGGGTATCAAAGACATTTGTATGCCTATGTTCATAGCATTATTCACAATAGCCAAAGGTGGAAGCAACCCAAGTACCCACTGACAGATGAATGGCTAAACAAAATATGGCACATATATAAAATGAAATATTATTTAGCCTTGAAAAGGAAATTCTCACACATGCTACAATAAGGATGAATCTTGGGAATATTAAGCTAATTGAAATAAGCCAGTCACAAAAGACAAATAATGTATGGTTACACTTATGTGAGGTACCCAGACCAAATTCACAGAAATTAGAATGGTAGTTGTAAGAGGCTATGAGGAGAGGGGGGATGGGAAGTTGTTGTTTAATGGGTATAGTTTCAGTTTTACAAGATGAAGAGTTCTGGAGATTGGTTGTACAACAATGTGAATGTGCTTAACACTACTTAACTGTACACTTAAAAATGGTTATGATGGTATATTTCATGTTACACGTATTTTATCACAATTAAAAAAATGCACACACACACAGATACATTTTGGAGATTATAATTAGTTAGGCCTTTTGGCTCCAAGTGATAGAACCCAGTCTGAACTGGCTTGGACACAAGATGGAGGTGGTGAGATTTATTGGCTCACAGAATCCAAGAAGAGTTGAACCATGGGCAGGGCAGGAATATGGAGCATCAGGAACAACTCGAACCAAGGACTTTGAGATTTTCCAGAACTTTTTCATTGTTTCTCACCTCTGCTGCTTTCTGCATGTTGGCTTCATTCTTTTTCATTGCAGACCAGCTGGTTCCACATGGCAGGACACATGGCTGCTGACAGCTCCTGTGTTTTACATTTTATGGCTTCCACATTTCCACTTTTCTTTTTTCCTTAGTTTCAGTTAAAAAAAATTCTGGGTAAAGGCTCTGATTGGCCCATCTTGGCCCAAGACAAGTGGCCAAGGATGTGAGGTCATTTAAGATAATACTATGCGATAGTCAGAAGTATTTATAGAAACATGAAAAAGAAACAATGATTTCTATAACAATATCAAATATGTACATTTAAAACACATACATACATAGAACAATAATACTACATATTATTCAAAGATACACATATATCCAAGGACATATATTAAACACATTAGAGTGGCTACCTAAACGGGAGGGAAGGAACATGTGTGGGAATTAGACTGAAGGAAAAAAAGATAAAATGAGAAAGGCCCTGTTGATGAAAATGTCAACCAAACAGTATGACTGCCTCAAATCTCTGCATCTGAGGGAAAAATAGGAGAAAATGAAGGGAGTAATAGAGCAAAGAAAGATAAAACGGAAACAGAAAAAGAGAAAGTACTTTTGAGTGAGAGGGGCAGTTTTCAAGAGAAAAGGAAGAGGAAAATGTTGAGGTGATGAGTTCCAAAGATGCTCACTACAGAAAGAAGAGACATATCCTGATATTGGTTGAATGTGGGGCATGAGGGAGAGGGAGGTGTCAAGGATAGCTCCTGGTTTTGACTTAGATGGTGGTATAATTTACTGAGATATGACTAAGAAACAAATATATTTTAGGGGAAAATCAGAGATTTCATGAGATAAGTTTGCATTACCTATGAGCTATTTAATACGATGTCTTCTAAATTTTAAAATTTTTTTGCCAGAAATGTGTCTATTTTAATGCCTATTTTATTTCTAAAGTATGAGAGCTTCAATTTATCAAGTGTTGTTCTTTTTCCCTTTTCTGATTTTATCTTTATTTCTTCCTTCTATTTTCCTTTTATATTTTCTACCCATGTTGAATATTTACCTTTTTAATTTTCTTTTAAAATTAATAATAAAAGTACTTAAGGCTACATTTTCCTGAGTACTGCTTTAATAATATACCCTAAGTTTTGTCATGCAATAGTTTCATTAATCTTAATTTCTAAAGAACCTATGATCTTAGTTTTATTTATTTTTTTGACCTGTGAGTTATTTAAAATTGGTGTTTTAAAAAAAATTTCCAAGTGGTAGAATTTTAAAATTTGTGGTTATTTATTTCTAATTTTACTACGTTGTGCTCAGCAGACATGTCCTGTACAATTTCTGTTTTAAAAATTGAATTTCTCCCTCCCTCATTATCCAAATTTGCTTTGTTGTTTTTGGGTTACTCACGTAATATGTAACCAAATCTCTACTTTAAGAATTTAAAACATTACAGAAATATAGAGATCCTTCACTCTCCACCATTAAATCTACTCTCTTCCACAAAGATAACCATTTTTAAAAGTTTGGTATGTATTCTTCCACATTTGTTGATGTCTCTATATAGAAATTGATACATGTGATAGTTTTGCTGCACTCAGAACCATATTATGTTGTTCTGCAATGCGCTTAAAAAATTAACATCTTGAATATATCAGCACATATTTTAATTCTTTACACTCGGCTTTCATTGTGATACACGTCTAAATACGTTTGGGTTTTCATTTATTTTTACCTGGTATTTCATGAAACTTTTAAATATGAGGGTTGAATTTAAGTCTTACATTCAAATTTTCTATCAACTTAGTAAATTTTCTATTATTTCTTTGATTATTGCTCCTCCTCAGTTAGTTCTGTTATCACCTCCTGGAGCTCATATTTGATTATTTAGTTTCCTGGATCCATTCTCCATGTCTTCCACTTTTATCTCTTACAGTTTTTATCTATTATATTTTCCCTCTAAGTTCTGGTGAATTTTCTTGAGCTGGTTTAATTTTTGGCATATCTCATCTGCAGTTCACTGACACTGTTTTAGTAATTTGGCAATGGTGTTCTTCCTAAGAAAGTTTTGTTCAGGTTATTTTTCCATCTTTAAAAAAAAATTGGGGGTAGGGAATAGCTAGGTGGTAGAGCGTGTGCTTAGCATGTACGAGGTTCTGGGTTCAATCCCCAGTACCTCCATTAAAAAAAAACAAACAAACCTAATTACCCTCCCAAAAGAAAAAACAAAACGAACAAAAAGTAAAACTAAACTAAACTAATTAATTAAAAACATGATGCAATGTCCTCTCCAATTTCACTATTAAAATGAATTAGTTTAAAACATTTTTCTCCTCTTTCATAACTTAAAGACCGCCATTAGCTCTGACTACTCAAAGCACTCCCTTTCTTTTGATATGTATTGACTTTCTCCATCTGCTCTGGAGGTGAAGTGTCTGTCACATATGGGAATTGAATGAGTTAGAGATTGTTTCAATCTTTTAGGCCTATCTAAGGAATAACTGGAAGCTATTCTCTGATGGTGCTGAGGTCCAACTGACCTTGCGGGACTGGGAAGGTGCAAGAGGCACGGGGAAGCAGCCTTCCAAGGGGACAGGGTTTCACCACAGGTCTGAACAGGGGCTCATGAACAAGTAGGTAAAGTACCAATTTTCAGATCCAGTTACATTTTAAAGATATGGGAGAAAAAAATCAACCTGAGTCCAGGAAGTCAAATAATTTTTCCAAGAATCCACAGTGAAATTCCCAAACCGATTTATAATACCTCCTAATTTATTTCCACACAACCCACTCCCTCAGCAAGAGCCACCTATACTGGATTAAAAAAAAAAAGTCAGGAGGTTTGGGATGTAGATTGCCATACAGGAAAAGACTCTGAATGTCTAGTATTTATTGACTGTCACCCTGGGCAATTTGCTACCGTTCTGGGATTGTTTCCATAGCTTAAAAAAAGAAAAGAAAAGAAAGTGGGGATAGTAATAACTACCCTTGCAAGATCTTTAAGGTTCCAAAGTAAAGGCCTGGGGCACTAGTTACGGCCTGCGGGGGGAGAGCCTGGCCTAAGACCGGGCTGTGGGGTGGCTTCATCACTCCGAGCCTCAGGCAGCACCGGTGTGCTTGATGGCCACCACGGCAACAAGAGCAGCCACCGCCGCGAACGCCCGCCTGGCCTGCCTGGCCTGGCTTGGCCAGGCCTCACCTCACCTCACCTCCCGGGCGCCGTGCCTCCAACACCAGCCTCAGAACACCTTCCCGACCACACCTCTGCGCACGCGCGGCACCCGCCTGCCCCGCCCAGGCTCGCGGCCCGGCTCTTCCCCGCGGGAGCGACCGAACGTGCGTTCGAACGGCACTTTTCCTCCCAGTGCGGCCACCGTCGTTTGGGGAGGAGAGTGGGAGGGGCGGGGAAAAGGGTGGGAGGTGGATGAGCGCGCGCGCCGCCCGTCCGTCGTGGTTTCCTGGCTGCGCGCGGCGCTGGCGGAGTAGCTGTAGCTGTAGCAGCAGCCGCGAAGATGGCGGAGGGGTTGGAGCGTGTCCGGATCTCCGCGTCGGAGCTGCGAGGGATCCTGGCCACTCTGACTCCGCAGGCCGGGAGCAGAGGTGAGTCGCGCCGCCCAGCTCCTGGGCTGGGCCTGCCCGCCCCGCCTCCCTCTCCTCCTCTGCCTCCTCCCCGCTCAGTTCGCAGCTCTCCGGAGCCCCCGCCCCTTCCCCCAACAGTGGGGGCGGGGGCCGAGGGCGGTCCCTCCTCGCCCTACCAGCCCGAGAGCCGGTGTGGGGTCGGGCTCAGCCAGCTCGGACCTCTCCGGGAGAGCCCAGCTCGAGTTCCTGCCTCCGCCCCCTTTCTCACGGCGAAGGTGACTGTTCCCCGTTGCCCCAGCCCTCTCACGCCAGCCCGTGGAGTCCCAGCCGTGAGGAGACGCGGAGAGGAGTGGGCGCCGGAGTCTGGTGGAGGCCCCCGCGGCGTATGGTTCCCAGAGGCATCTTCCGCAGGCCTGCCCCGTCGTCTCTTTAGCGTTGGGGAGAAAGAGCTGGGGACATGGAGGAGAAAGGTTTAACAGCTTGGGACTTCCTTGCTGAACTTTTTCCCCACAAGGCAGGCTTTTGAAGGCTGCGCCACCCGAGGGATCCAGGACCTCCGAGAGCCGACTCTATTCTGGTTTGGCCTTGGCATGTGTGGGAGCAGTTTTTATCGGAGAGTATATTCAACTTGCAAGTTAAAGTCTCCAAACACTAGGAAAGCTCCAAAGAAGATTCTAGTGTCTCACCTCTCCTTGGTTAAGCGTCTGTAGTGGAGTTGTGTAGAATGATAGTTATGCTTCTGCAGGCTTGTGGCCAAAGTCTTTGAAATTGGTTTTCGTTGGTCATCTGAATTGGATTATTCAGGTTTTCTCCCTCTGCTCTGGAAAGTGGTAGTGGCTATCCCCACTTCCCCCTCACCTGGGTCACAAAGCCTGCTGAGGGTGAAGCTCTTCTAGAGTTAAACTGCTTTACCTTTATTCATATTGGATGAAGCAGTCTTTTAAACTTCTGAAAAAAATAAAGCAGTATCTTAATCTTCAGGGTTTTTTTCCCCCCTTTTTGTTTTGTTACACCCCTGGGTATAAATTCTGGAGCCTGTGATCCCTGTTATGTGCTTGTTTGCATTGGTGTTTATAAAACAATACTGGGATTTTCTGTAGTATTCTGTTTTTGAGTACTCTGTAATCTCACTAACTCCTGTTGTTTCCCCACTGAACAGTCTAGTGGCTACAGTAGCCTTTCCCCTTAATAAATAAAGGTAACAGATACAAAAAAAAGATACTTGCTTATCTGTCATTAGGTGAGTTCCTGGAGCCTAGAGAGTGGTTACTAAAGTTCTGCACTCTTGTTCTTGAGTGCCTCAGTCCTTGGTATTTTGAGAGCATGTCACAATACTTCCATCATCCTTCAGGGAAAGCTACCTTATGGAACTTTTTCCTTCTCATATTCCGTCATCATAGCAGTTAGTCTCAGTATTCTAATGATGATAGTCTGAGCAGTATTTCCTTGGAATGACCCTGCTGGCTGCTGTTAAGAGAGTTGGTGACCATGAGTGGAGTTGAATGTGAAAGGAACTGCTTCCTGTTTGCCTCAAAAGTGGGTATGTGATTGGGTAATTGATATCCTTAAGAAGAGGATTGTCCTGGCCAAGTTCAGTGACTGGAGTTGCAAATATTTCTCCAGAGATGTACAGAAGTGTGGATTTTTATGCATACTCCTCTTTTTCTCCTCCCTCCCCCCATTGGTATGCTAAAAGGACTTAGCCACTTCGGGAATTTGTTAGAGGCAGAAGAAGAAAAGGCTAAGATGGATCCAAGAGCTCTACAGCAGAGAACAGTCCGGTGCTGAACTGGTTAGAGATCTTTTATTCTGATGCTGATGAGGTAGTTTGGGGTCTTGAGGATCCAAATATGACTTGGGTAACACGAGAGAGTAAGGTTTTTTATTCTGTTTCCCTAACTTAGCTGTAGGTAGTTCCAACGCAGTTAATTTCTTAGCTTTGCCAGTTGCTGAACAAATATTGTAAACCTAGTAGAGCTTCTGCTTCTGTGGAAATTTCCTTCTTTGTCCACCAATATTAATATTTCAATGTGTAATTCTTGCTTGACTTTTCTGTTACTTAACCAGAATGACAGTTTTTTTCCTTCCCTCGTCCTTTATCCTTTTCTTCTACCTTTTCCTCCCTGATACTCTCTCCAACATCACAGAAAACATGAAGGAGCCCAGACAGCGTAAAGATAACAGGCGCCCAGATCTGGAAATCTATAAGCCTGGTCTTTCCCGACTAAGGAACAGACCTAAAATCAAGGAACCCTCTGGGAGTGATGAATTTAAGGATGAAATTGTTAATGATAGAGATTCTTTGGCTGTTGGAAATGGTACACAGGTCATTAAAGATGTCTGCAAGGACAACCAGCAGCAAAATGGTCCTGTAGACCCAGAAAACACTCGGGCACAGGAGTCCTTTCCTAGGACTGTTGGACAAGAGGATCGAAGTCTAAGAATTATCAAGAGGATGAAGAAGCCTGACATGCAGATCTATCAGCCTGGAAGGCGTTTGCAGACTGTTACCAAAGAACAGACTAGCCGGGTGGATGAGGAAGAAATTGTCAACCAGGTAGAACAACTGAGAGTAAAGGAGGATGAGTATAGGGGAAATGTGAAAGAGGAGGCTGTGAATAAACCAGACAAAGAGGAGGCAGAAAAGAGTCTAAGTGGTGACAGAGTGAGGGCCACAAAAGGAGAAAAAGGGAAGAGGATTGAAAAAGGGGAGGGCGTGAAGAAGGTGAACGATGACCCTGCTCAGGGGAAGCCGGGTTCTGCAAAGCGCTACTCCCGCTCAGACAAACGGAGGAACCGCTACCGCACTTGCAGTACCAGCTCAGCTGGGAGCAACAACAGTGCCGAGGGGGCTGGCCTGACTGATAATGGATGTCGCCGCCGCCGCCAGGATCGGACCAAGGAGAGGCCACGACTGAAGAAGCAGGTATCTATGTCCTCAACTGACTCCTTAGATGAGGACAGAACTGATGAGCCTGATGGACCCCGGAGGAGCACAGAGAGGAAGAAACATTTAGATAGAAGCTGGTCTGGCCGTGGAGAAGGAGAGCAGAAAAGCAATGGCAAAGAAAATCGAGGCACCCTTCGTGTTACTTTTGATGCAGAAACCATGAACAAAGATTCCCCCGTGGTGAGGTCAGCCAGGGAGGATGTGGATAGGATAAAGCCAGACAAAGGCTCAAGCAGTGGGGGCAAAGGCTCTGAGACTCAGGAGTCCAAAAACCTAAGACAAGAACTTCGGGGTCGTGGCCGTGGCATTCTGATTTTGCCTGCGCATACCACCCTGGCTGTCAATTCAGCTGGTTCTCCTGAATCTACACCTCTGGGACCTCGGCTTTTATTTGGATCTGGTAGTAAGGGATCTCGGAATTGGGGCCGAGGAGGCACTACTCGACGATTGTGGGACCCAAACAATCCTGATCAGAAACCTGCTCTAAAGAGCCAGACACCCCAGCTACATTTTTTAGACACTGATGATGAAGTCAGCCCTACCTCTTGGGGTGACTCACGCCAGGCCCAAGCATCTTATTATAAGTTTCAAAACTCTGACAACCCCTATTATTACCCCCGGACACCAGGCCCTGCCTCCCAGTATCCTTACACAGGCTATAGCCCTCTGCAGTACCCGGTGGGCCCTACAAATGGTGTGTACCCAGCGCCTTACTACCCAGGCTACCCGACTCCATCAGGACAGTATGTTTGCAGCCCTCACCCTGCCAGCACCATGAGTCCTGAGGAGATGGAGCAGCACATGAGGAACATGCAGCAACAGGAACTACATAGGCTGCTCCGGGTGGCTGACAACCAGGAACTGCAGCTCAGCAACCTGCTCTCTAGGGACCGCATCAGTCCTGAGGGCCTGGAGAAGATGGCTCAGCTCAGGTATGGTGTGTCCCATCCTGGCTAGAGGGAAATGGGGATAAGCTGGAGGTGTACAGGCTCCCATGGCTGAGGAAGGTAGAAACCTATTAGGCAAGCTCCTGGGTGTTATCTCCCTTTCACATTTTTTTTTTGTAAGGGAGGGGGAGTTGGAAAAAAGAACAGAATAGAAAATTTTATTTCTAGTCCTAGAAATCATTATGCTTCTCACTTTTTCTTTAAGAAAAAAAAAGCCTTTAAGAGAGCATGGAATCTGGATATGGAAAAGGAAAGACTTTTCAAAGTGCCAAGAAATGAACAACATGTAACTTGTGGTGAAGATTTTACTTTGGCTGTTAAATTTAGGTGGAGGCATACGGGAAAAAACTACTCTCCTAGACACAACTGTCTTTAGAATGACATTCTGCTATGCAGAATGGAAACTAGGGAGTACTACACCTGGTGGAATTTTAGATTTCCTGCCAAGGAAGATGTTTAATTTGTAGGAACCTCAAGTCTTGGGTCTAGCCTCTCCTGTAGTGTATCTGGAGCTAGAAGTTGCATGTATTTTATTCCAGAGCTGAACTGCTGCAGCTGTATGAGCGCTGTATTCTATTAGATATTGAGTTCTCTGATAATCAGAATGTGGATCAGATCCTGTGGAAGAATGCTTTCTATCAGGTGATTGAGAAGTTCAGGCAGCTTCTCAAGGATCCGAATGTTGAGAACCCAGAACAGATTCGGAGCAGACTTTTGGAGCTCTTGGATGAGGTAAACCATCGTCTTTATGTCCTCAGGATAAAGGCTTCAGCACCCTTTAGTTGTGATGGATTTTTACCACCTGAAATACTGTTTTATAACAGAACATTGACAATAAACTGTATGCTCTTTTCTTGGATTTAGGCCTACCCTATCCCTTTTACTTCCTTGAGATCACAACTTACTGAGAGTTGGAGTTTTGATCTTGGAATCTTTCTGAATGTCTTAGCCAGAGCGTGCCGTGCGCGTGTGCGCGCGCGCCGTGTTCATTCGTTCGTTTATAACTTTAAAACCATGGAGAGGCTTATGCTATCAGTTTGACTTGTGCTTAGGTGGTGGCCACTAAATACTGTATATGCCTCCCTTTGTCAGACCACTGAGCATTAGCAGAACTTTGAAAGGGTCACTTGTCCCAGTTTCTGGGTAGATTGGGTCAGAACAGGCTGATTCGGCTGATTCTTATTTTTTCTCTCTATAGGGTAGTGACTTCTTTGATAGTTTGCTTCAGAAGCTGCAGGTTACTTACAAGTTCAAACTGGAGGACTACATGGACGGTCTTGCCATTCGCAGCAAGCCACTACGAAAGACAGTAAGCCAGCTTCTTTATCTTAAATTTATTTATCCATTTAGTAAGCATTTATCTAGTGTTAGTTATGTGCTAGGCACTGTGCTGGGTGTTGAGGATACAAGAATGAAAGATACAGTCTAGTGGGGGAATAGACCAATTAAGCCAACAATTGTAATGTCATAAGTACTATGGTAATGGCATGTATAGAGTATTGGAGGGGCATGGAAGGAATCAGATCTGATTTAGACTGAGGAGGGTCAAGGAAGTTTCTCAGAGACTGTGAGGTTGAGTTTTGAAACATGACTAGGAGTGGAGTGGGCAGTTTCAATGCAGGGCACAGTGAGAGAACCACACCTTGTTGGGAAAGTATAAGAAGTTCGGCGTCTTGATGTCTGCAATGTGGATTGGGCTGTTGTAGGAGGTAAACGGAATGAAGTGGGAGGGGATAGATTGTAAACTTCTATGCCTTGTTGGAGAGATTGGACTTTTTTCTGAAAGCATTAAAGAGCCATTGATTGATTTTCAACAAATGCATAGCATAGATTTGTTCTTAGAACCAGTCACTTTGGCAAATGAATGAGTTTGGGCAAGAGTGGAGGTAGGATAATCAGGCATGGGCCTGAACTAAGGTGGAGGTAGTGGAGGTGGAGAAGAGAAGACAGACTGGAAAGATAGAAGGGAAGTAGAATTGAAATTGCTGCCTCGTTGGGTGTGAGTGATGAGGTTGGAGGCATGAGGAGTCTAGATCATCTCCCATTTTGTGGCCTAGGAACATGGCTGGGAAGGAAGAGGTTAGTTCAGTTTGGGATAAGCTTAGATGGAGGAGCTCAAAAATGAACAAATGAATGTTCTGGTCTGTCTGGAGCACAGGAAAAGGAGCTGGGCTTGGTGATAAATAGATTCAGAAGTCATCAATGTATGAGTGATACATGAGTTGAAGCAGAAGTTGGGAAACTGGGAAGGATAGCCAGAGAGCAGGGGGTCACATTTCAAGGTGGTGGCAGGTAAAATTGTCAAGTGCCAAGAAATCATCAAATGTTAAGATTACTAAAAGGTGTCCATTGGATTGGATGACCTCATCATGAGTTATTTTAATTGGAGAGGATGGAAACCAGATTGTAGTGAATGAAAAGTGGGGCAGCAGATAAAATGAGAGGGTAGTTTAGGCTTTTCTCTTAATAATCTTGGCTGTGAAGGCAAGAAGGGAAGATAGTAGTTGAAAGACATAGTTTCAAGAGAAGTTTGTTTTTAAGCTTTAGCGTGTTTATATGTTGAGGAAAGGGCCAGGGGAGAGGAGGAGGTTAAAGATTCACTAGAGAAAGAAGTATAATTTGTGGAACAGAGGTTTCCTCTTGCCTTTCTGCTCCTTCTGATGATTTGGTATGCACAGGCTCTATTACTGATCAACAAGTGTCTGTTGAGTCCCTCCTACACACAAGGTGCCATTCCAGGCACACGTAATTCAATGAGGAACAGGAAAGCTGTGGTCCCAGCTCTCGGAGTTTAGAGCTTGATTAAGGATGAGTACAAATGTTGGATTAGTAATTGCAGACACAGTGACTTCTGCAAAGGATGTTGTGGGGTATACGGTAAAGGGGCTCAGAGGATCATAGAGGCCTGAGGAAGTCACAGTTAAGCTGAGGCTGAAGACCTGAGACGTTAGCCAGGTGAAGGTGTACATGAAGATGTGAGAACTACAACGTTCTTGGGAAAGGGAAGTGTATATGTGAAGGACCCAGAGTGGGAGAAGCATGATGTGTTAGGGGAGCTAAGAAAAGTCTTCTGACTGAGGCACAGTGAAGGGAAGTGGTCCTGGGGAGGTGAGCAGAAGCTAGATCATCTAGGACTTAGTTCAGAGGGCATGGAGATCCTTTGGTGGTAATTTTTTTTTTTTTTTTTTTTTGGTTTCCCTCATTGAGGTGGCAGAGTGGCTGTAGTATGGAAACGTACCAGTTTTCTTGGTGCTTTATCAGTTAAACACCAACGATTCTTGGTGTTCTTTCATAGAGAGGATGTGTGGAGTAGTCAGGACTCTGAAGGTGTGTGACATGTGATACACAACTTTGCTGAGGCACACTTTTGAGTTTTGTGTTTGGAGGCTGAGTTGCAGTAGCTAGTTACTTAGCAAGTAAATGAGTCTTCCCAAGGGGTCAGTATCTACTTCTCCTTTATTCAGTGGCATGGTAATTTCTTGTGTGTGTGCAGAGTGGAATTACATGTTGTAAAACGATGTTCCTTCAGAAGGTTTTTTGGTTGGGCACATGTCTTGGGATTGTTAAGGGTTTACTCTGTTACTTTCTCATTGAGTGACAAACGCCGAGCCCATCAGTGAGAAAGCATATATGTAGTATTACCCAGTCTTAGCACGTTGGAGGTGTTTGGTAAAGGGTAACTTATTTAGGGAATTATTGTCTTGCAAAGGGAATGGATGTAATGCAGTAACACAATTCAGTGGTATTAACAGTTTGAGGAGAAATACTATAGTGATGGCAGGAAAAGAACAGAGTAAATAATTGATTCAGTGTTTGTATATCCCTTTATAATTTGTGAAGTCTTTCTACACTTATACCCTCCAGTTACTCTATGAAATAGGTATTTTTGTATTCCGATGAGGAAACTGAGTCCCCACGGTTTAGCTGAGATCACACAACTGTTACATAGAAGTCAGCATGTTTTCTTCCATTTGACTGGGACCTGAAATAAGAATGACCTCCTCTCCTTCTGCCACTCTTTCTCAGTGAATTTTGCATCACGTTGTTTTTTTTTTTTTTTTTTTTGGTCTAGTCAAGGTTAGACTGAAAACTTTTCAGTTTGTTGAGGACTACTGGTGCCTTATTAATGCTGCTCTGTTATTTTGACCCCATGCCTGTCCTTTGGGGTTGAAGTTAGAATTTCTTGGGTATATGCTACTAAGTGATCGTTTTTCCTGAAGGTAAAATATGCCTTGATCAGTGCCCAGCGATGTATGATTTGCCAAGGAGATATCGCCAGGTATCGGGAACAAGCCAATGACACAGCAAACTATGGGAAAGCACGCAGGTAGTATTTCCTCTTGTTCATTGCTTCTCTTCCCTGTGTGGCTTTAAGATAAGCCCTATTAAGAGCAATGGGCCACCTGAGCAGCCTCCTGTATGGCTGTTTTACAGGTGCTCCTGTTGGTCTCTGTAGTCATGCTTTACTACTCCAGGGTTATGTCTAACACTCCAGCTTAAGTAGTAAGGGCTATCAGGTGATGAATTGGGAAAGTGTTGATACAGAACTTTTTGTTGTTGTTTTTTCTACTGTTTTCTATTGTAGTTGGTACCTGAAGGCCCAGCACATTGCTCCCAAGAATGGGCGCCCCTATAACCAGTTGGCTCTGCTGGCGGTGTATACGGTAAGAAATCTTGGACAGGGAAGTATTTTGCAGGCAGTGTGTGAGAAATAGGGATTTTGATAGCATCAGTTCTTGGAGTTAGATTTCATCTGAATACTATAACCCAAAGTATATCCCCTTCTGTCTGCCATCCTCAAACTCCCTTTTGTTAGGGTTATGTTCAGAGATAAGTTATCAGGGATCCCTCACTTCAGTTGAATCTGTACTTCATTTGCTTTCACTGCACTTAAGTTCCTAGCAGATGCTCATGCTCCAGCCAAACATTGCTCTTTCTTTTTGACTAAGGCTTCTGCTCTGAATCTTGCCTTGCTTCCCTTCCCTATCCCATTGAGCTAGGTTGTTACTGATTTCTGGAAGGAAAATAAGGCTCCCTTTACTTCTCCCCGTTAAAGTCCTCAATTAACCCTAAGTACATCCTTTCTTCCTTTCCCCAGATCGTCTTATTCATCTAAATCTTTTTACCCAAGGAGTCTTCTCAGCAGAAACACGATAAATGCCAAATTGTACCTCTCTAGATCTTACTAAACTCCTCTCAGTGTGGCTCTTAACGGTGAGCCTTGAGCTGATGGAGCCCCTCGTAAGGAAGCTGACTTCAAGGGGCCAGTGGTAGGTACCAGAGGTTTCAGTATAAGAAGCAGCTAACGTGCTCATTAGTAAGGAGAGTTTTCTTAATGCTGTCAAATTCATAGCTCAAATAAACGGTGTTTGAATTAATATTTTTATTCCACAAAATGTTCAAATAAATTCCTAATAATTATGGAATGAAATTGTTGATCAAGTAATGTTGTTTACAGATACACTTTCTTTTAGAATCTGTTGAATCTCTCTCTGCTTTTTACCTCTGTCTTATTCTCTTTGCCTTTTCCGGAATGTCATATAGTTGGAAGCAAACAGTATGTAGCCTTTTCCCATTGGCTTCTTTCACTTAGCATTTAGGGCTTTCTGGCTTAATAGCTCTTTTCTTTTTATTGTTGAGTAGTATTCCATTGTATGGATATACAACAGTTTGTTTATCCATTCCCCTACTGAAGGCCATCTTGGTTGTTGCCAGCTTTTTACTATTATTTATAAAAATTCTATAAATGTTACATGCACGTTTATGTGTACTTCTGTGGACAGAAGTTTTTGACTCATTTGGGTAAATACCTAGAAGTGTGTGTATATATAGTTTTGGAAGAAACTGCCAAACTATCTTCCAAAGTAGCTATACCATTTTACATTCCTACCAGCCTTGGATGAGAGTTCTTGTTGCTCTGCATCCTTGTCAGCATTTGTTTTGTCAGTGCTCTAGATTTTGCTCATTCTAATAGGCGTGGTAGTGGTATCTTGTTTTAATTAGCAATTTCCGAATGACATATGATGTGGAGCATCTTTTCATATGCTTATTTGCCATCTATGTATCTTCTTTGGTGAAGTGTCTGTTTAGGACTCTTGCCCATTTTAAAACTAGGTTATTTTCTTATTGTTGAGTCTTAAGAGTTCATTGTATGTTTTGGATACCAGTCCTCTATCAAATACGTGTTTTATGAATGTTTTACCTCAGTCTGTGGCTTTTCATTTTCTTAGCAGTGTCTTTCACAGAACATGTTTTTAATTTTAATTAAATCTAGCTTACCTTTTTCTTTTATGGATTTTGCTTTTGGTGTTGAATCTAAGAAATCATTGCTAAATTCAGGTTACCTAGATTTCTCTTATGTCATCTTCTAGAAGTTGTAGAGTTTTCCATTTTCCATTTAAGTCTACAGTCCATTTGAGTTAATTTTTGTGAAAGATGTAAGGTCTATGTATAGGTTCATTGTTTTTCATGTGGATATCCAAGTTGTTTTCAGCACCATTTGTTGTCTTTTTCCCATTGAATTGCCTTTGCTTCTTTGTCAATGCTCAGCATAGATGACTATATTTGGGTCTATTTCTCGACTGTCTTTCTGTTCCACTGATTTATTTGTCTGTCCTTTGGCCAGAAGCACACTGTCTTGAGTATTGTAGCTTTATAGCAAATCTTGAAGTTGGGTAGTTTCAGTCTTCCAACTTTGTTCTTCTCCTTCAATATTGTGTAGGCTATTCTGGGTATTTTACTTTTCCATATAAACTGTAGAATCGGTCTGTTGATATCTATAGATCTAGTGAGTGGTATCTCATTGTGGTTTTGATTTGCATTTCCCTAATGGCTAATGATATTAAGCATCTTTCGATGTGCCTTTTTGGCCTTTTGGAAAAATATGTATTCAAGCAAGTCCTTTGCACATTTAAAAAATTATTTTTAAATTAAAGGAAAAAAATTAATTGTAAAATACACAAAAAATGAAATTTACTATCTTACCCATTTTTAAGAGTACCGTTCTGTAGTGTTTCTGGACTCTCAATTCTCTCCCATTGATCCATATGTTTATTCTTGTGCCAGTACCATATTGTTTTAATTACTGTAGCTTTGTGGTAAGTTTTTAGATTGGGATATGTGAGTCTTCCAATTTTGTTATTCTTTTTCAAGATTGTTTTGGCTATCTGGAGTTCTTTGCAATTCCATGTGGATTTTAGGATTGACTTTTTCATTTCTGCCAAAACAGTCATTGTGATTTTGATAAGGGTTGCACAGAATCTTGGATTGCTTTGGGAAGTATTTACATGTTTACATGTTTACTACATCTTCTACTCCATAAACACTGGTTGTTTTCCATTTATTCAGGCCTTTAAAAGGTTTTGTAGTCCCAGTGTATTAAGTTCTGCATTTCCTTGGTTTAATTTATCTCTTAAGTATGTTATTCTTTTTGATGTTATTATGAATGGAGTTGTTTTCTAAATTTCTTTTTCAGATTGTTCATTATTAATGTGTAGGAATACAATTGATTTTTAAGTGTTGATCTTGTGTCTTGCAGCTTTACTAAATTCCCTCAGTGGCTTTTTGCCACTCTAATTAGATCATCATATGTTTCTTTCATGGACCTCTGACCTAAATCAGTACTCCTTTCTAGTCCTTTTCCTCTGTCCCTCTTTTTTCTGTCTCCCTCTTAACTTAATTGTCTTTTAAAAACACTTTCTCAGCTTTTCTGTAACCTCCAATCAGTCATTCAGTGAATCTCTAGTACTTACTGAGAATATGCTTGTGCACAGTGCTTTGCTGGGTTCCATCAGCAATAAGTGTGTGACATGATTTTGTCCTGAAAAAAAACTTTGTTGAGAAGACAAGTGAGGCGTGTAGACAATGATAACAAATTAGACTTGATGAGATATGATGCAGTTGATTGTTAGACACACCATTATTTTCTCTACCACTAAGAAAAAAAGTGATTTAAAATAAGACATAATGATAGATGTTGACTGTAGGTGGTATCTCAATTTCAGAGATGTTAAAATATGAAAAAGTCACTGTAGAATTAATAAAATACAGTGTAAAATCAATTGAGTGGAGTAGGCAGAGATTAGTACGGATTGAAATAATATTAAAGATAGCTCCCACCTAACTGATGTAACTGTGTACCAGATATTCTTTTAAATTGTATGCATTATATGAATTCTAATCTTTTTAGGAGCCATATATGTGTGTGGATATCTTTATTTTACAGAAGGAAACCTTTCTAGGTTGGCTTGCTTAGAATTATACCTAATAAATGGCAGGACCAAATTCCAACTCAGACAGGTGACCTTAGAACGTGCGCCTTTAACCATGCTAGATAAATGCAAGACGGAAGTTTTGAAGAGTGAGTAGATTCTCTGGAGAGAGGAGAAGCTAGTAGTCTGGTTGCATTTTTGAGACAGTTAGAGAAAATTAGGTAAAGAGATATATGATTGGAAGATAGAAAGGCTCTTTGATGTTCTTTCCCCCTTTATTTCAGTGTTTTTCTTTCTTCTGCCTCTCTCCCTTTCTTTTTCTTCTTTTTCCTATTAATTGGTTGTAAAATGGACTTGAAGTATTTATTTGCTGAATACATTGGATAATAATTTGTTTCTTTTTCTCAGCAGAGTCAGCATGTTGTAGTGAAAACTTGAAATTAGGAGCCAGAGAGACCTAGGTTCAAATACTGGTTTATCTGAGATTTGGCTTTAGGACCTTATTGGACAAGTTATGTAATAATCTTCTTAAGCTCCCATTTCCTTATCTTTAAAATAGGAATAATAATCCCTGTGGGACAGTTTCCTTAGGTTTAGAGATAATATCTATGAAGTGCTAATCATTGGCCTCACACATAGTTATGCTTAATCAATGATGTTGCCATTGCTATTTATAATTTTTAAAATAATAAATAATTAGTAGGTAAGTTGAACATTTTCTTTCCCCAAAACAAATTGGCCTTCATATTTTATGAGGTTCTTTATTCTTCTCTCCCCCTTCTGAGCACTTGGCTTTAAGAGTACCTCTACCTCCACGTAAGACATAGTGCTGTGCAAGAAGGTGTTCTGGTGTAATCACTGTGGCTTTTCTGTGTGTAGCTTTCTCATGTTCTTGTTGGAATTCCTCACAGCCTGGGACACAAGTTGGGAGGGACAGGAGGGTTTCCTGGGTCAGCTGACTCAGGCTGGAGTCAGGAAGAGAACTGGTTGACTCAGTGTCTCTGACCTCTTTCTGCAGAGGAGGAAGCTTGATGCTGTCTATTACTATATGCGCAGTTTAGCTGCCAGCAACCCTATTCTGACTGCCAAGGAGAGTCTCATGAGCTTGTTTGAAGAGACCAAACGGAAGGTGAGTGCGGGTGCAGGCAGAATCACTCTTTCCTAGGAAACTGTGTTTCTCTTAGTGTCTCTGTGTCCTGAAGAGAGTGACTAATAATGTCCTCAAGGGGTCCCATCGGGCTGTGCTGATGGGAGATGGTCAGCCCCTGAGCAGAACCAAACTCATCTTTAGGAGAGCTCTCCAGGGCCCTTGGGTGTACATGTTCCACAGCATCTGGTTTACAGAATTAATAACTTATGAGACAAAGCAGATGAGGCTCTGCTACTTGAGATCTATGGCAAAGTCTTTACTTTTTATGGTATTTGAGCAACAGAGTCAGGTGAAGTGAGCACTTGTCTTTATTGGCTGAATCCCAGGAAAGCCTGAACTTACATGTTTGTATGTTGTATAGGCAGAACAAATGGAAAAGAAGCAACATGAGGAATTGGAACTGAGCCCTGACCAATGGCGGAAGGGAAAGAAATCTACTTTCCGGCATGTTGGAGATGACACCACTCGCCTGGAGATCTGGATTCATCCATCCCATCCCCGGTCCTCCCAGGGCACTGAGTCTGGGAAGGATTCTGAGCAGGAGAATGGGCTGGGCAGCCTGAGCCCCAGTGATGTAAGTTCCTGAGGGTAATGTAATGAGCAAGACTAGCTGAGTAAGCATGAGTGCCTGGTACATGCAACCCTGAGGGACAGACACTTCCCGTTAATCTTGGGGAAGGCAAATCACTTCAGGTTCCCTGAAGTTCTGGTCCATCTCCTCCACTTAACACTTCCCTTATATTTCTTTTGAGCTTCCCTCTCTCACCACTGTGTGGCACTGTAGAACTTAGTAAAAGTAATTTTTAAAATGAAGATTAACTTAGTACAGGATAAGAAGTTTTTGCTGCTTGAGTTCGTAGTCACCAGTATGATGCTTCAGGATTCTGTGTGGGAGCTTTGAAGCTAAGGAGAGGGCACAGTAGTTGGAAAACTGCAAATTGTGGTTCATTGTGTCTTGAGAGTAAAATTTATAGAGGAGTGGTTTGGAGGGTGAGCTGGGACCGGGCTTTGAAGAGTCATGCAATAAGTAATTTGACCTTTATCCTGAGGGAGCAGGGAGCTACTGAATGCTTTAAATAGGGAAATGTCAGATGCGCCTTTTAGAAATATGACTCTGGCTGCTTTGTGGAAAGTTTGGAGTAGAGTAAGACTAGAAATGAATGAGAAGAGTAGGAGGGTGCTATAATAATCCAAGTGAGATGTGAAAAGGACCTGAACCAGGAAATGGCTTTGGAGTTGGGGAGAAGTGAACAGATATGAGATAACGTTGAGGTAGAATACAAAGGGCTTGATTGGACATGGGGAGCTGAGGGAGAAGAGGGAATCAAAAGTAACACTTAGGTTTCTGGCTTAGAAACTGGGTGAATGATGGTTCGTTCCCTGAGACAGGGAATATAGGGGGAGTTGGTTTTAGGAGAAAGGTGATGAGTTTAGTTTTGGCCATGTTGGAATTTCTATAGGACATTGATATGGAGATATTTAGAGGCTATCAGATTACTGAAGCAGAAGATAATAATCTTGGTCAGAGATGACGGCATCCTCTTATAGATGAGAGAGAGTTGATTCAGCTACTCAAGGAAAAAAAAAGCATAATGATAAATAGGTTGAAGATCTAAGAAAGGAGATGGATGGCAGGGAGAAGTCCTTGCAGAGGATGACAAAAGAATACAATCCAGAGCACAAGTGACGGGATTAGTCTGAAAGAGGATGAGCAATCCCTCTTTCTTGTGCTTGAGGGAAAGGAGGAATGGAAAACTAGGGATGCCTGTAAGTTTGTGGGTCTTGTAGGAGGAAGATAAGGGTGAGCCTTTTTGATGTTTTCTATTTTCTCTTTGAAGCTGGAGGCATGGTCGACTACCAAGAATGAGTCAAAGGTGGTGGGATAGGAGGACTTGTCCTTTGGAGTTTAATTTAAAGTTTCCATTTATCCTCCTGTATCATTAATGTTTAGCTGTTTTCTGGATAACTTTGAAAGCAGTCATCACTTATAAATGAAACTACCAACTTCATATGTGCCATGGTGTGCATAGGGCCCCAGTATATTAAGGTGCTTCAGAAGGGTTGCCTTTATGGTAGACTCCCTCACTATTGCCTCTTCTGGTTTGGACGATACCACCCCAGACTGGAAGTCTATTTGAATAAGAGATAAGTCGTTCTGTTGGATTAGCTCCATTGTCTATCTTTAAAATGAAAGCAACAGTGACAACTTGAGAAAGCATTTTATGGCTTTCTTTGGCCTTGTTCTCAAGCTTAGGGAATATCCCTCACAAAGTTATAATCTTTTATAGATCTCTGTCTTCCATTAGGTGTTTTACTTATTTTTTAAGTAACGTGTTTGTAAGTTTGTTTTTATTCTTATGTGCATCTCAGAGAAGGCATTTTCAGCATGTGAACTGTCATTGGATCCATTACATTTTATTAATTATTTTATTTTTAATTATAAAATAACATATGAATATATATTTTAGTAAAATTTTGAGTAATTACAGATGTGTACAGAGTGAAGTGTAATTTGTTTTCTGAACTGTTGGTGAAGCTGTTTGTATATTTTCAGCCTATACATCATCCTTGGGTAATTACTTCCCTTAATTTCTTTTAAATTTACATCTCTAAGTTTGGGCTTTTAGTTCTATGCAGCCAGCAGGAGGAAGCCTGCAGTTTCATAGCTCTGTTTATCCAGCCAGGAAACCACACTGCCTTTTTCACCTGTTTTCTCAGGCCCAAACCGTCTTTCCAGATCGTTTTCTTTCACGCAGCAGGCCCCAAGAACTCAGCTTGCTTTCTCTGTTCCTTGGAACAGGAACATACAGTTGATGAGAAGTGGGGATTTATTCACAAGCATTTAAGTAATTAGGCATTGGGGATACAGAGATTAAAACAACCCAAAATCATCTTTAACCTTAGGGAGCACTCAGTCATGTGGGGAAGACAGAAACATTATATATTATATATTATAATGCAGGTGTGCCAAGTGCTGTGATAAAGGCAAGTGTGAGGGGCAGTGGGAACATACAGTTAGAGCACCTAAAAGGCACGGTTAGGGAAGGCTAGAATGAGGAGGCATTTTGCAGCTGAAGGATGATGTAAGGGCATTTTCACTGAGAGACATGAAAGCTTGAAAGAGGTGTGAAGGCTTAGGGAACTGTGAGTGCTTCAGTATGGCTGGGGGCTAGGATGTGAGCAGTGTTCTTGCCAGAGATTAAACATAGTTTAAAAAAATTTTTTTTGGGGGGGAAGGGGAAATAATTAGGTTTATTTATGTATTTAAAATTTTAAATTATTAGTTTTATTTTTGGGGAGGGAGGTAATTAGGTTTATATATTTATTTATTTTTAATGGACGTGCTGGGGATTGAACCCAGGACCTTGTGCATGCTAGGCATTCACTCCATCACTGAGCTATACCCACCCCCGACAAACATGATTTAAATTCACTATACTTTTATATATTTCTACTACTACCATCCTAGTCCAAGCTAGCACTATTTCAGTAATACACAGACTATGGAAAGAAAGTTCCTGATGGCCTCTCCACATTTATTCCTAGGTCTTTCTTTTTAAACAGTAACCCAAATGAGCTTCCAGATACACATTTCTAATCATGTTTCTTCCCTGTTTAAAAGTCGTCAGTGTTTTCTCTTCGCTCTTAGAATCAGGTCCATCCTAAACATAGTTTACTGGGCCCTACAAGATTTGGCCTTTGCTGCTTCTAACTTTAGAGCAGGTTTACTCTCTTCCCCTCTTTGTTGTTTTGTGGCCATACTGGCTTTCCTTAACGGGCCCAAGCTCCTTTCTGGCCCTTGGCTATTGCGTGTTCTCTCTGCCTGCAATGTTCTTTCCTTTTGTCAGTCTCAATACTCTTAAATACTCAGCCTAAATATCACTTCCCTTTTCCAGGGAAGCTTTTCCTGATCCCTGAGCCTGGCTGTTTCCCTTTGTAATACCACATTTCTAATTAAGAATTTTTAGGTCCAGCTTTGTTGTTGTTTGAAGTCTCTCCTCTGCTTAATTCAAGACTCTGTGAAAGTGGAGTCCATATTTAGGTATTCACTGCTTTATCCTCATTTCTTTTTTTTTTAATAATTTTTTTTACAGTATTTTATTAAAAAACTTTTTTTGAGGGGGGAGGTAATTAGGTTTGTTTGTTTGTTTGTTTATCTTAATGGAGGTACTGGGGATTGAATCCAGAACCTTGTGCGTGCTAAACGTGCACTCTGCCGCTGAGTATACCCTCTCCCCTTTATCCCCAGTTCTTGTATACAGAAGATTCTAAATCTTAGTTTAGTATATAAAGGAGGGGATGGAAAGTGAGAGATGAGGCTGGAGAAAATAGGAGGGGCCAGATCCTTCATAAATACTAAGAAGTTTGGATATATATGTGTTTATATATATATGTATATATATATATAAATATTGAGGATTTTAAGCAGAGGATGACTTAATTAGGTTGTGTAATGATCATTCTTTTCAACACTTCTAGTATTGGAATAGATTTGTTTTTAAAGGGAACTTTTTAAATTGCAGAAGTAACACCCATTCATTGTATTTAAATCAAACAAAAATGTACTTATAGTTTAAAGTGAGAGTCACTTGTGTTCTTGCCTTCAAAGATACCGCTGTTAACTATTTTATGGAGGTTTTTCCTGACGTTTTTCTAAGCATTTTTAGGTGTTTTCGTATACTCACATACCTGCAGACACGAAATACATTTGACAAAAATGAGATTATACTATATATGCTAATATACAATTTGCTTTTTTGAATTATCAATTGGATATACCAGCAGTTCTGCTATAATGTTGTAATACATGCATTCCTAAAAATCGCTGTGCTATGCAAAATCACACAATAAAAACCACAGAGCTTGCAGGGAAAATGGGGTTAAGGGTACAACACTCAAAAACTTCCTCAGTGACATATTTTTTGAAAAATGTAATGAACCTAGTGAAACAGCTGTACAGTTTTATACATATTCATTGGTTAAGGAGTATGTAAATGCTGTCTTGAAAAGTTTGCTTGTAATCAAGTGGGCTTTGGAACTCACACTTGTGAGTTATTGTGAAGTGGTGAATGGAGGGTTATTTGAAATTGGACGGGCAGGTATAACACGAGATGGGAATAGGTGTGGCACATAAGTTCACATGGTAGTTGGTGGATGTTTGGGGTGTGTGCTGTTTGTTCCTGTGCAGCTTAGTTCAGCTGGGTGCAGTTTTCTGTGTTCACTGTTGTTTCTCCTGAACAAAATAAAAATTTGTGTTATGCTCAGATTGTTCCTTAATATGTTGATCATGATGGAACAGATCCACGTTTTCAGGACAAGCATTATAGATGAACTGACTATGTTTCCACTTGTCTAAGAATGTCTTTTCTTACTATGTTCTTAGTATGGCTGCATGATGTTTCATTATAAATATGTGTGCCATTTCTTTAGCTTATCTATATAATTTAAATATTTGTTGTGCTTTGCTTGCTTGTTCATTTTAGTTGTCCTTTTTGGGTGATCGCCTTAGTAGGAATTGCTCCTTTGACAACTCCCAGAGAGTTTCTAGCACATAACTGCAAAAATTCAGATCCA